AGAGAGAGAGAGAGAGAGAGAGAGAGAGACAGACAGACAGACAGACAGACAGACAGACAGAGAGAGAAAAAAAAGAAAGAGAAAGCCCAAGAAGAAGGTGCATGCAATCTCTCCCCCTTCGTCATTCCGCTCCGTTCCCACGCCGGTTCTATATTTGCCGACAGGAGAAAGCAGGTAATGAACTCCTCGGCTGCTACCTGGAGTGGCAGTCCTCATAGAAGGAAAACCACATTAATGCCCTCTCAAATTTAATTTCTTTTAATGCCCTCCGTAGGAGAAGTCTCCAGGAAAAAAAGGCATTAACGAAGAAGGAATGTTTCAGCCTGTGTTGAGGTTGTTTTCTTTGTTTTTTTTTACCCATTCAGAAAATATGGGGAGAATAGATAGAAAGGTAAGGAAGAAAAAAACCCAACAAAAAAACCTTACCGGTACCAGAGCTGATCGATCCAAAATTGACAGTCAGCAAAAATAATTATGACGCTTTTATCTCTATGTCCTTTTCTTTTCTCCTCCTCCCCCTCCTCTGTCTGTGATTGTGTGTGTGGGTGTGTGTGTGTGTGTGTGTGTGTGTGTGTGTGCGTGTGTGTGTCTCTCTCTCTCTCTCTCACCTCCCCCACCCCTCTACCCCTCTCATACTTATATTTCTCCCCTTTCCCTGACCCATGCGCACGCACACACACACACACCTGTCTATTAGTACAAAAGCTTCAAAGTTTGCCTCTAATACAAATAGAAAATCATTGTAATCCAATGAACCCTACCCTCAGGAGCGACATTCCAATTCAAGTATCAAATAAAGGTATTCTTGACTGGTTCCCAAAGCTTCTGTTCACAGGAACCTGAAATTGTTGATCTCTCTACGGTAAATCAGTGCAAAGCCTCTAACATTCTGCAAGGACAGCCATAAACTTTAACTTTAACAGAAAACTAGTATTTTTTTTTTCAGTACATGTTTTACCGTACAGCACTTTAAACACAATAACGTTATATAAGAAGTGTTACAAAAGAGAAACAAACATGAAAAAGAAGGAGAGAGATAAAGACGACAGATGTTTCATAGGAAAGAAGGAGCAAACCACACCAGAGCATCTGTCAACCACCCACCATCTGGTCAATCCTTGTCAATCGTCAGCTTACAGTTTTCCTATTTTACTATCAAAGACAAAGAGAGGTGATCCTGATCTCAAACATGAATATACATGAACAAATGGGGGCTTGCACCCGTATTGCTTCTTGAGATTGAGTGGTTTTAGAAAGTTTTACTGCATTTGCAACACAATTAGGTCACATGAGTGCCAAAGATTAAAGGTATTACTAGAGGGTAACATACAACGAAAAAGGAGGAGAGATGATGACAACAGGTGCTTGTTTGAGTAAAAAGAAGCAAAAAGACACAATAATGGTCTTTTAGTACTGGGAAAAGGGAAGAAGTAAAAGTAAGAAAGACAAACACAAACAACAGAGGGAAAGTAAAGAAGTAGGACCTATCAGTGGTGCCCTCCAACCACCCCACAGGACGATAGACATTTGATCTAGGAGGAAAACAGGAGCAAACCACACCAGGACATCCGCCAACCATCCACCCAGAGATTGAGGAAAGAGAAGAACATCGACAAAATAATCTGTCCTTTTGAGGTGGAGGGGGGGGGGGGGGAGAGAAGGAGAAAGACAGACAGACAGACACAAACAAAAGAGGAATAGTAAAGTAGGACTCACCACGGGTACCCTCAAACTATCTTCTCCCATCAACCAGCAACAATATAAGAAAAGATGAAAAAAAAATTATACAACAAAGAAACAAGATAGAAAGAAGATTGAGGAAGCAATTTCACAAGAAAAGCGGAAGTTGATCGACAAACAATCAAACCAAACAGCCACATAAAAGAAAAAGGTAAGTCAAGATATATATATCCAATAGAACATACAAAGAATTTTTTTAAACTTAAAAGTAGGCCTTACTAGTGGAGCCCAAGTTTACAAACTTAAGAAAATACTTAAGACTAGCACCATCTACCAACTAGATTTACAGCTTCATTTTTATAAAACATCAAACAAGGACAAAATCTCATTAAGAAATTAAAAACTCAGGACTGTGCGACTGGAAGTAAAGTCTAAAAAACATTGTGTCCAACAAAACGTACTGAGAAATTATTTTTTAAAAAGAAAGTTTAAAGAAATACAGTATCTGTACAACAGGTGTATGGATTTATATTTTTAAATCACTGACGGCAAAATAACTCAATTGGCCCTGAGGTAGGAAACGTGGCCAACCCCAGTGACACTACACGAGAAGCTGTACAGTTCGACAGATGAACTGAGCACAAAAGTCCAGTAAATGATAGATATCGGACTTCAAGTGTGATGCGATCAAGAAGAAGAAAAAAAAACAAGCTTCCAATTTATGAAACAAGAACACAATTCGAAATACAACATCAACATAGCATGGGGAACTCACCTGTCTGTAAACTACTGGCTTGATACGTCTAACCATCGCAGTTTCTAAGAGAAGAGAAAAACAAAATAAGGCACTGAACAAAACACAATAATAATATCAAGTAGGGAAACAAAATATTACGCTTAAACTTGCGATCAAACAAACTGTTTGCCCTCAGTGAATACCACCAATGTAAAAAGTTAAACTAACAGCAACCAATTTTTTAAAATATAATTATTATATATGTTCGTCATTAAAGAAAAATACTGCTGAAGTGCTGGCTCAAGGTGCTCATCAGTCCACTGACATCTCAAGATCAAAACTGTAAATGTCCTGATCATTCTGAACTCACAAAAGAACATCATAAACCATGCAGTCTTTTTCACAATCATGGTAAAAACACAAACTTTCAAAATATAGTAGTCTCTGCCTAAGAAGACTTAACTGCCGATCCCGCTGCTTTAAGAAAACGTAATTTTTTACTACACATAAGTCAACCCTAAGATCCCACTCTGAAGGACTATATACGGCTAAGATCCCGTATTTCAAATCATAATTTATTAAACAAAAACCCAGGCGAGCACAGCTGATCAACCAAGCAGTGATAATTTGGGTCTTTACCGCCCATTGCGTCAGACCATCCACTCTCTCGAGAATGTGATTATAGCTCTGTTGTATACCTTCATGAAACAGTACATTGTTTGCTTCCAACAAGATCACATCGAGGTGTGAACTCATTAATGAGTTTGTTTTCACCATACACAGAACTCGCATCTGATTCTCCACCAGATCTTACATTACACGCTGGGTAGGTAGGATCTACAAGTTGGCATAAGATTGGATCACATTAAACAGCGAACTCTTCGGTGCTTTCGTTTTCCCTGACCATTGCAGCTGTTGTCTTACAACTAAGATAAGATAAGAAAAGAAACATCTTTATTATCCAGATCCTGGCACATTGGTTTGGCGTTCCACGTGTACACACACACACACACACATACACACACACGTGCACACACAAGTAGGCTTACAATCACATGCATAATATAAAGGAGCAGCAATATAAACAATAATAATCGTAAGTTAGATACACACTCAATGTTATTTTGATGCATGCTCTAAGGTCGTAAGTATACTTATACAAGATGGTTAAAACTCTACATCCAAATATGCTAGCCAGGTAGAATTTTGATTGGTGCAGTCACAACACAATATTGTGTGTTACAACAGAAGTGGGGGAATTCAGTCAGAGATGGAAAGCTATAAATTTTGTACAGATGAAGGGGAGGAGATGGGATCACTGTAGATCTTGAGAATCACAGCTGGATATGTAAAAATGTCATGCCTCTAGCCATTGTGATTGCTAATCAAGGTTTGACCACTCTCTGTCGACCTGCCCAGGGGTCACGCTAGTAGATTTCAAAGTAAGGGGAGACCATTGCACTGATTGTGGGTCTGCCATGAATCACCATGGATTCTTCTTGGTGCCTTGGGTAAGATCCCGTTTGCTTGGGATCTTTAATTTTCCTTGCTCCCAAGCAATGGGATCTCAGGCAGAAGTTCTGCAATATCAACATTTTTTTTTTCTCAGAAAGGAAAATAGAAAGTAGAAACAAGGAAAGCAACACAAAAATTTGATGTACCTTCTTTGTGGTGGATTGTGTCCCTTGCTGTATCGTCTGGCCAACCTGGAGACAAAATCAAGGGAGAGCTGCATTTAAGATTTTACGCAGTTTAGAAAGGAATTCATTTTCTAGATTTAATCGCCCCTCTAATCTGTATACCACTGATAAGATTTCAAGGAGCAAAGACTAACATAATGGATGAGAAAGAAAGACAAATGCAAAAACAAGTTACACATCAATCTGTTTTTTTCTCTGACAATAGCAACAGATGTGAGAAGACTTAAATCTTTCAGATTACATACAATTGTTACTGAGGCAACAAAATCATCATCCTTTGCATAACTTTTGGCCATAGTGACATGGTATTCTAAAACAATCCCAATGCACCCAGATATGAGAAACTCCCTGGTAATGTTTAAAAAGAACTTGAAATCACATATTTTTGCAGAGGCATATTTTCAGTTTTCTTACCATCTTGTGTAATAAAATGTTAGTAACTAAAACTGTAAAGAGTGGGAGTGATAAGAGAAAGAGAAAGAATGAGAGGAAGAGTAAGAGAGGGAAAGAGAAAGGGAGTGAAAGGATCACTAATGGACCTATGTTCTTTGTATTACAAACATCAGCATCTCTCTTTCAAGAAAAACACATACAAAATACTGTATTACAGAGCAGGATAAAATCAATGTGCTACAGGACGAAATGTCTATATATAAAGGTGTTCATTTGTGAGAAGTTCAAGGACATTGGTACAATCTATGAAAACTTGATATCAACATGCGGGCCAGACCAGGCAATGCAAAAAGAGGCTGCACACAAAACATTGGTGTAAATCAAAAACAACCTGTACCTGCCTATTTTAGTTCAAAGCAATCACGTACAACATACCCTTTTGAATAAATAAATTTTGGCTAAATCAGCTTCTGTAAATAAACACTTGATCTCAAAGAAGAAGCCCACATCAATATAATTTTCACATTCAACTATTCAACAGATGTCAGCATCATTCCATAATCACCAAGGTCATTTTCTGGGGGATTCTAGATAAAGCTGTTATTTGATAACATCAAGGGATATCTTACAATACAATTTCATTCTTTCTACAATTTTGCTTCTTCTAAGTCTTTACTTTTTAAAAATTGGGCAGCTAAGCCATGGTCCTGATTTGGGGAATCTTTTCTCTAATTCTCTCAAAACTTTTTTTTTTAAATGACACAAAATTGATTTTGTCAGATTCATTTAAAAAGACAATACAGTATTAAAACATGTCTCTGTGCCCGGAAGACAAATGACTCATCTTCACCAAACCTCTCTCCCTCCCAGTTGTATTGTCCCTAGTAAGTCGTTTCATTCACCTTTTTCTTCAGACAGGAAGAGAGTACGGGCGTTCGTCCAGGCAGCCCTCCCATCCCTCCTTTTGACACGCTAGTCACGCGGGCTGGGGCAGGGGAAGGCGTCCAGGCTTGGAAAGTCGGAGTACCGGCCCCTCGTCTGAGACCATGGATTGTGTTTAAGCTATTGCCTCGAGTAACAGGAGTCCTACACACACCGTTCACACACTCGGTACCATTCAGCACTCTCTGGCGAGGCGTCACATTTTGTGCAACGTTCGCAGACGATGATGCCGCAGCCCCTGGCATTTCTTCCCCAAAGTCAAGCCTGTGGGGGGTGCCAGAGACCATTGAGGCAGATGTAGAGCCATGTGGGTACTCTCTGACCCGAGAAAAATCACCAGAGTTGGCCATAACAGTCGACACAGAGTTGGTTGGCGTACAGACTGTTCTCTGGCTCGACCACACTAGGTGAGTTACGCTTGAGGCACTCGCGTCATTCATACTAACCACAGCTGGATTGAGTATTTCATGCGTAGACCTGTCATCAGCAAATTCATTTTCCTCATTAAGAGGAGCGAGAGAAGTTGCCACATCTTTCCGTAAAACAGAACTGCCAGGAATTTTTTCGGTAGTTGTGTCACCCTCAGATTCAGTTTTATTCATCTTCCCTGTAACACTGTCAGCCCCTCTGTCCTTCATACTGAGATTCTGCTGCTCATTCAAATGTCTGTCACAGAGTGTGAACCTATGCAGTTCAGACTTATGTCTATCACACAAGCTCAGCTTCTTTTCTTCACTTAAAAGTCTTTCTGACAATTTGTTGCTGATCACATTTTCCTTTATTTCCGTGAGGCAGTTTCTAGGGAAACCCGTTCTACGATCATTGGTTTTAGGAGTGTTTTGGAGACTGTTGGAAGTCCTTGTAGGGGGTGTCATTTCAAGCTTTGCCTTCAGGGAAAAGTACACAGAGCAAGGTCTCTTGTGAGTACTACCACTATTCTCTGACTTTTGTGCATCTTGCTGTTTCTTGGGTGCTGGTGTTCCTGGAAAAGAAGAAGAAAAAAGTAAAAGGTAATTGCTCATCGCCAAATCGGCTCATAAAAGTCAGTACAAAGTCTTTGAACTTTCATTTTGATATTCAACATGAGATATACATTTGCCATAAAAAAAGAATAAACTACTTTGAATACAAACAGTTGAACCTGCTCTTATGACCACCTGTTCAAAACAATCACTTGTTCAAACGACCGGTTCCCCCTTTGCATTTTTCATACTGTATGATGACATTGTCCAAAAGGACCATCTGTCTAAGATGACAACTTTTCTTCTGAGCAATGGGTGGTTGTCTTGGATATATACTGACCAGCATAAATAAAGCGAAAAGTACCACCATGTGTAGAAAACAAAACAGAACATTTTCATGAATTGTTTTCATTTGTCTCTATTCACAATGTGCTCTTGTTATTGGATTGGCTGGATTTAAAGAACACAACACGCTCATTGGCCGCTTATGCATCAAATAATACAACAAAGCAACCCTCTCAATGGTACGCAGTGAAAACATGAATTGAATCGTGAATTTTTGCTTACATGTTAAGTTGGTCTGGCCTATAGATTCTCTGCCCTAAAATGCTTCATTGAGAGTTGCATAGTCTGACTATCAAGATGCCAAGATTATCTGGGGAAAACCGAGAAAGAACTATTGGAAGTCTGCAAGCAGGCGAGAGCCCTCAGCAGGTGGCTACAGTCCTGGGAGTGCATGCCAGCACTATTTACCACCTGCAAAACAGATTCCAGGAAACCAGCTCCACGATGAGATCTCCAAAGAAGCGGAAGACCTCGACTGACAAGAGCTGCCCAAAACCGCTTCGTCATGTGTCAACATCGCCGAGATTCACGGTTGTCTGCCGCCGAGACAGCCCAGAACACAATAGGAACGCACGGTAGAGCTGTGACAGACTGCACCAGACACCGCTGACTTGAGGCCAGGGGGCTACGTTGTCGGTGTCCGGAGCAGAGAGCACCCCTGAACGTCCATCATCAACAAGCTCGTTTCCAGTGGGCTCAGAACCACGTTAACTGGCGTTATCAACAGTGGCAGCCTGTGATCTTCAGTGACGAGAGTCGCTTCAGCATCGATCCTGACAGTAGACAGGTCCGAATTTGGCGCCGCCCCGGAAAACGCTACTCTAACTCCGACAAGAACATCTGAGAGAGAGACCCGTGGGGAGGTCAAAGCGTGATGACAGATAAGGCCCGGCCTCATACAGCACGTGCTACCCAGCAGTTCCTGGTGCAGAACAACACACAGTACACACACACACACATACCCACCATGCCTCACCCACCCCGATCACCAGATGTGAACCCAATAGGACACTTTTGGGACATCCTTCAGAGGCGTCTCAACCAACTCCAGCCCAAACCCCGGACAGCTGCACAACTGGGTGCTGCTATTCTTCAGGAGTGGGTGCAGGTCCCAAACTGTCAAATCAATCGCTTGGTCCACTCTATGCACCGCTGATGCACACCCCAAGCAAATCCCCAACTCTCAAGCATTGTTTTGTGCAATTTGAGACACCCCAAACCTGTTTCTCTAAATAAATAAAAATATTGCTTCAATTTACTCTCTTCTCCTTGTGTCATGTGAATTCGCATTACTTTTGCCGGTAAGTATATTTGACCTTTATTCACTCTCCCAAATGCTCTCCTTTCCAAAGTAAGATAAGTGAGATTTACTAAGGTGAGAAGGGAAGAGAGATTATGAAGTCTTAAAGAAGTCAAACATTGACCAGTACAGCATGATATACTCTCTAGAAACAGCATTCTCAAATATAGACGCACATTTTTCTAATGCCGTCATAGACTCTGGTCAAAACATTTTATTCCATTTCTCAGTTAATGCAAGTTCTCTTAGAACCATCTTTGCTCTTCTTTTCGTATACAGGACGTGTCAATCCTAAAAATAATATCAAATGTTTAGCACCATAGATGTAGCCACAGGTACTTTTAGGACACTTTTTTTAATGGTACCTCAAAAAGAGTAGAGAGGCATCTTGTAGTGCACCCTCTCTGATTCAGTACTGCTGGTAAAGTATACACGAATTGCAGCTCCTCCTTTTCTTCTTATTACTATTTTAAGTTTTAAGTCTTAGTATGAGCTTTATGGTACTTCCAACACAATAAGGTCATTTAAGAGAGGAATACTATAGGTGTTACTAGAAAGTAGCATACAGAGAATAGAAAGAGAGCTAAAGACGATAGATGATTGATGAGAAAGAAAGAGCAAACCACTCCAGAGCACATACCAACCACCCACTCTTAGAACTCTTGTCATGTCAGTCAGCACTGTTGTCTTTCTCCAATACAGTAGTCTCCGCCTAAGATCCCGGTGCTCGGGAGCAAAGAAATACGGGATCTTAGGCGAACCGGGATCTTAACCGACGATCCCAGGGAAGAATCTATGGGGACCCATTTTAAGGCTTACAATCAGTAAAATGGTCTCCCTCCACCTTAAAATGAACTGACGTGACCCCTTGGTGGGTTTATGACATATGGCGAGCAAAGAGTGGTTAACCTTGATGGCCAATCACAGTACATTGTGCCGTGAGGCGTGCCATTTTCACTTATTATCCTGAGTCTCAAGATCTACGCTTATTCAGTTGGCCCTCTCCTTTACCTGTCGAAAATTTATAGCTTTCCATCTCTGATCGAGTCCCCCCCCCCCTCCCCAAATGCCTTTGTCGTTACACACCATTACGTCATGAACACACCAATTAAAATTCAGTCTGTCTAGCAAATTCGGGCGTTGAGAAAACTGCTGCAAATCAACGCCTACTGCAATGGTCAGGGAAGAGTTCACGGTTCGATGTGATCCCACCTGGAACAAACGTGTATGCCCTACCCACCCAGCAAGTGATGTAAGTTTAGGTGGAGAGCTCAGGTGTGAATGCGATGCATGGGGAAAACAAACGCGCCAGTCAGTTCACACCCCGGTGTGATCCCGTCGGGGGCAAACATTGTATTGCTTCACCCAGTTTTACGTGTATGTGATTACATTCACGATAGTGGCTGATTTTGATGCGACGGACAGTTTATTGATCTCAACTTTTCACTCTTGCTTGATCGGCTGTGCCCGCCCGGGTTTTTGTTCCGCAAATTATGATCTGAAATGCGGGATCTCAGCCGAATGTAGACCTTCAGAGATTCTGTTTTCTTAAAACAGCAGGGTCTTAAGCGAACCAGGATCGTAAGCGGTGGGATCTTAGGTGGAGACTACTGTACTATAAATAACCTTGCCATCCAGAGGTGCTTCTCTTTAATCCGAGATAACAAAAACCAACAAACCTATATTCAACTTCCTCATCACTTCCATGTGAAGTTGCATGTTCTTCTTAAACGCAGCCTGAGACTCTATGAGCGACATCCGTGACGAGGACGGCTGGTAGTACACAGAACATCTGTGTCCCTGGTGAGGACAGCAAAATGTAATACAATGTCATTGTCTCTACCTGGATATCACTTAATGACAAACTCATCAGTGTAATAATGAAAGACCATAGGAAACAAAAAGAACTTTTCCACAGCAAGAGACCTGAAGAAATCAAATTTGTATAAAGGTCAAATGATCTACCGTAACCTTAACAGAAATATTTTCACGCATTTCACAGCTTACTCACTTAACTCTTCATACAATACAGGTCATTCTTCTACAGATCAGACCATATTCTGAATAAATAAAAATAGTGATTTTTGACAAAGATTAAAAAACAGGCTGAATCCGGTCCATCATTACCTGTACATGAATTAGTTGAGAGGAGAAACTTCTTTGAGTGTTTTTTAAGCTAATTTAGAGCTTAAAATGTTGTACCATAAAAGTAATACAGGATCAGGAAGTTACACTTCCACAAATTTTAACTTTTTAATGAAATCTTATATTTCCATGAATCATATGAACTGAATTTTCAAACATTTTCATTCTTAATATAACATACTCTACTCCAAAAGCCAATAAAACCTCACTTAATCCTTCACTCATAATTAACAATAAAAATCACTGAAGAAAAGGCACACACAGGTTCAAAGAAAACACAAGCATCATTCTAGACCTCAATCAGGGAAGACACTCGCGACAAATTTTGGTGTACTTTTTGTGAAAGAACTATTTCAATGGCCTTCTAAATTATCTAAATTTTGACAGGAGATTTAAAAATTTAGCCTGAAGCAGTATAGCAGCACTAGAAGGAGGTAATTCAACAGGAAAAACATTTAAACATCCCCCCTCCAAACACCTACACAGTAACTTAACCATCTCTACCCACTTCATTCAAAAAATAATTGACAGAACTTTCAAGCCCCAAAAAGAGCTTGAGCTGTACACATCAAACTAAAATATTCACACATGCAATGGCTACTTTTTGTCACAATACCAACACATATTAGTTTGAATCTTCTCTCAGTCTACTCAGAAACACAACCAACTCTCAATCCCCTTAAATAACATATTAACAAAACTGTATGAACACTCTTCTAATCTATGTTGCCCAATGGGTCCCAACCAAATTTCTTGTCTATGAACTTTATTATAATCCTGCTGCGGTTTTTTTCTAAAACTTTCAAAAGCAGATTCAGTAAAACAAAATAGCGAAGCATGACAGATTAAATCATTAACAGAATATTACTAAATAAATGATGTTAAAATCTTCAGGGTACTTTAGAAACGTTCATATCCCCAACACTTACACCAACCTCCCACTTCACTCAAACAACTCACCGAAGCTGATGTAGTATTCCTGCGTTCATCAGTGACTGGCCTTATTCCTTGGTTGTTAAGGATACTCTTTAAAGATTCTTCATCAGGTTCAAATTTCAAACCTGCAATAAACCCCCAAAAAGTGTAATTCCGGAAAATATTCCATGACACACAAAACCACATACCCTACTGAAGATACTTGGTCTTCATCAAAAACAAATGCGCATAAATATATACAAAACTCTTTCAAAACTAATCATTGTTTCTAGTTGTCCCCATCTCTCAAGCTACCTCCAAATATCCAAATTTATATCTAGGGCAGATATGTAAAATGTTTACACTACCTCTCAAAACTGGAAAGACGTATTTTGGGTGCTTGGATAACGAGGTCATTTTGAATACAATACATAAGTATGCTAGCATCTTTTTAAGCAAAACCGTTGTGGTATTTTTTTTTCAATCTAAGACAATTCCCTCTCTTGCCTCTTGTCTTGAAATTTAGGACAAGTCAAGAATTTGCACTACTGCCTCTCCACAAACATTAATAATGTATGCTGGGGGTAAAGAAGATCCAATAAAATTCACATCAGAACAGAAAGATAAGTCAGTTAATTCACAGCAAGAATGCTTTTAGTGAGGAACAAACATAATAGTCTCATCAATGAAGAAAACAAAAATGACACATGCATAGGTGCCAGTGCATGATTTAACCATGAGTTCCATAATATGTGTATAAATTAAATTGAATTTTTTTCATACAAAATTCTACAAAGCTGCGTACCTTTCATATCTTTCTCAAAAGTTTCATCCTTCAGTATCTGTCTCCGGCATTTTGGGATTTCGTCCGACCTGAAGCAGAGGACAGAGAACAAAGCATGAGAAAAAAAAAAAAATTCCCTTTCACCTCACAATTCATCCTATCTTTTTTAAAACAGCTTTGAAACTACATGATTACCCCTTACAACCTAAGCAACAAGGACATGCTGTGTCTGACCAGTGGCAAATAGTTCAAAATAATCTACTATATCTACTCTCTGCTGAGAACAGATTGCATGAAATAATGGTAATAAAACACTATACCTCCAACAATCTGATGCAATTAGTGCATCTGATGCAAATATGCATGAGCACAACAGACATTGGCAATATGTTTTTTAAAAATAATCAATATATCTAAAAAAGAAATAGTATAGTTTGCAACTGCTGTAAAGATTAATTGTGTAAAAACGGATATAAAACATGAAAAAGGGTGTATAAATTTCTAAGAACGAAATAGGAGTGATAGCGTAAAGGTACTGAAAAATAAAGAAATTTAGTGTTTGCAAAATGGCAGATTTCTTGTTGTGAGTCCCCCTGAAGGTTTAGAGAACTTCCGAGTAACTCTCTAGGCTGACTTGTTCTTTTCCACTTACCATAAAGTTCCCCCAAGAGGAATATGCAGCTAAGTGATAGTGATCTATTGGGCGCATATGATACTATTGATCACATATTCCGTCTCCTCTTTTTCTTTTTAAGTAAATAAGTGGTGGCGTCGGCAGTCTAGTGGTTAGGCTGCCAGACTCGTAATCAGGGGGCTGTGGGTACGGACCTCAGGCCCGACATTGTATAGTTAGGAAAGGCACTTTACACCAGGGTTCGGTTGATTTAAATCAGGTTGATTTAAATCAGTTGATTTTTTTTATTTAAATCAACTTGATTTTTTAAATAAAAATCAGTGATTTAAATCACTTTTTTTTAAATTATTTTTATTCAGTTTTTACATATTTCAACACTCAGAATTCTTTCCTAGGTTTCATAAAACAGATATAAGGTTTAGTAGACTAATATAATCATGCTTATAAGTCTGCTTTCCACCCTTTCACTGTAAAATAATACATTATTCAATGTACTTTTTCCCTATAATTGAAATCAGAGCCGGGTTGATTTAAATCAGTTGATTTAAAAAAATCTTTAATCAACTTGATTTTTAAAATAAAAATCAGAGATTTAAATCACTTTTTTTTTTTAATGTATTCAGTTTTTACATATTTAAACATTCAGAATTCCTTTCCTTGGTTTTATTAAACAGATATCTAGGTTTAGTAGACTAATATAATCATGCTTAAAAGTCTGCTTTCCCCCGTCACTGTAAAATAATACAGTTCTCAATTTACTTTTTTTTCATAATTGAAAACCAGGGTTGGGTTGATTTAAATCAGTTGATTTTTTAAAAATTCAATTCAACTTGATTTTAAAAATAAAACTCAGTGATTTAAATCACTTTTTAAAAATGTATTCTGTTTTTACATCTTTAAACATTCAGAATTCCTTTCCTTGGTTTTATAAAACAGATATAAGGTTTAGTAGACTAAAATAATTTAAAAGTCTGCTTTCCCCCCTGTCACTGTAAGTAGTAAAATAATACAGTATTCAATTTACTTTTTTTTTTCATAATTGAAATTAGCATTTTCTTTTTCTTTTTAGACAAACACAAGCGCGCGCACACACACACACTGTAATAAAATGCAAGTTTATCTATGCATAATTACCCCCCCTCCCCCCCCTTCCTTTTAGACTGACATTTTCTTCATTTTTTGTCTGTAGCCATAATTCACTTATATAACAGATTAAGGCTTTCTAAAATTACAGTTGCTTAAATTAACTAAAAGAACATATTTTTAGCCACCAAAAATCCCAAACTGTGTCGACATTTTTTTTTTAATAAAAAAAATCTGATTTAAATTTTAAAAATCTTGATTTAAATCCAAAAAATCGATTTTTTTAAATTTTTATTTTAAAAATCAAAAAAATCACCAATCCTGCTTTACAAAAATTTTCCTCACTTCATCCTGGTGGTATTTTTTTGGTAAGTGTTTTACGGCGCTTGCAACTTCATAAGGTCATATGAGCGGGCGGGACACATTAAACATTTTCAGTTGGTAGGAAATTTTGAATTTTGCCCGGGTGGCGGCCGAAGCCTACTCTTATCGATTTTAGACCACCAAGGCAACTTTAACGTGTGGAGCTTGCACATAGGACCTCCGAGACTTTTTGCCCATGTCCGAGAAGGCTAGGTGTAGATCTTTGATACCAGAAAATCAGGGGTGTGGCTGAAAGACAGCAGTAAGGAGAAGCCAAGGAGTAGCTGTAGAAAGGCTGCAGAAAGAGTCAAGGGCTCAGAGGAGGGGGGTAAAGGAGGTGAGGGGGGTGGGGACAGAAAGTGGAGACGAAAGCAGACAACAGAACATTGCTAGAGAGCAGGAAAGGAGATGAAAGGAGACAATTTTAGAGAAGCAAATTTCTCCTTTGCTACTCGGATTCGAACCCAGGACCTTTGGAATGAGAGGCCCCAGGTGAAAATGGGTACCCAGCCACAAACAGCAAAAGATCTTATCAGTATGTTGGTGTTTTAGTGCCTATATAGTAGCAGTGTGCACTGTATGCTTCCCAGGAAGTTGAGATTGTTTCAGTATGCTATCTGATCTGCTGGGATAATAATATAGATTGTAAAGCGCATAAAGATTGCTGTTGAGCGGGAATTTGCACTAACAACTATCTATTATTATTATTTTTACTATTATTGTTATTATTACCCACTTGCAGATGATCAATAGAAACAATAGTGTACCTTCCTGAGAACAGTGCCTTTTATACAGAACCAGGAATCAAACTCTCATTAATTTATTATTGTATGACAAAGACTCTTCATTGGCACAATTATACATCAATACACTGATTGCCATTGTTATATCTGCACTGCTGACAAAAAATAGATAAAAGGGCAAGTGAAAAAATTAGGAAAGAAAACAGTGCCACTGGGCAATTCACAGGGGGACATATAAATCAAGCCATTGTATCACATACCCAACATTCCACACATGGAACCATGTATGGATACAAGTTTCAAGAGACAAACATCTGTAGTTTCCTGGTTCTGCTCTTCGCTGTTGCATACAGAAGACATTAATTTGCTTCCTGGGCGGGGAAGTATATATATCTAAATCGCATAAAGCCATTCAGCCTGGTTAGACCCTAACAGGAGGGGTCAAAGCAGCCTACCTCCCAAATTGTCTAGATTGTACTGATGATGGAGAAAAATACAAAAAATTTCAAGTCACAAGAGCATATGATTATTTAATTTTTTAAAACAACAAAAACAGCCAAAAAATGGGTCTTAGAAACTTTCTGACCTGTCCTTCTTATTTGTGATCTTAGAATCAGTGGCGACAAGTCTGGCTTGGGATGCCTGTGGTGTGGCCTTCTGCCAACCTGTGTAACGGGGAATTTTGCTGAGAGAGAAAAATATATATTTAAGCATTTTTATTGAATCTTCACAAGAACAAGAAAAAAAAAATGTCATTATTTTAGAAGATAGTTTTGTTACTGCTGTTATTTTTTTATCTAGACTTTCTAAGCAAATGCCATATTATATGTTGTGATGACTGTTTTGTGTGGGTAGGTAGGCAGGTAGGAAGGGGAGAGCATAAGAGCCGTGCACTTTCATTTTTTTAAAGTTCAATTTAAGTCAAGCACTTTTTAACAACACAGATACAATTTGATTGCCAATACCATACGGTTACATTCTCCTTAACAAATATTACTCCTCATTATTTCCATACAAATATGTGTCACGAAAACTGTTTTCCAAGTAAGTCAATTGACAAACTGATTCATGTGTGTTCGTGTCAAATAATACTGGTTTACGATATAAGCAACATTTTTTTCGCCTTGCAAAGAAATGTGTACAAAATTTTCCCCCATTGGGATGCGAGTGTGCCAAAAAATGGCTTTTACTACTTTAGAAGCAGATAAGTGGCAGTGGTGAGTTGTAACATGACAATTCAATAGCCAAAAGTAATATATATATACAAATCTAATGCAACGATAAACATTATATCAAATTGATATTTTCGCTGATCTCAAGTCTCAAGTTCAGCAAAATGCAGAGAGGGACATTAAATCACTAGATGGTTTTGGTTGGTAACTCTAACAATCAAATCGTATCAATTAAATAGTTAAAAAGTGTGCAGTTTTGATACTCACCCCCCCCCCCCCAAAAAAAAGTGTGTGGCTCTGATAATTTCCCATAGAAGGGCGGCAAGGTGGGAAGGAAGGAAGGAAGGAGGTGGGTGGGCAGGTAGGAAGGAGGAATGCGTGAACCAATTTATTGAGTAACCAATCTGAAGCCTGTCCCTCCTTCTCCCCCCCCCCCCCTATTTTTAGGGTAATTTCCAGAATGATCAAACAAATGAAAAGAAAAAAATAGTGGAAGCCATTCTTTTAAAGAGAAGAAAATTCCATTACCTTCCCTTGAGCTTTGACTCTCTCGACATTTTTCTGGTGGGCCTGCCAGTCCGAAATAACACGTCCTTCGTCCTAAGGAGAAACAATGTGAAAAAAATCCTTTGCATTACAGAGGATTTGAATCTTTGATTTGTTTGATCACATCATAAAATAATAAACATGAAGCACAGGCTGAGATAAAATACAATTTGCACACAGAAATAGTGTGTTTTATACAATGTAAAATGTGAAGGTTTGTATTAGTTTTGATATATATATTATAAACATTGTTGCCATGGCATTGTTAAAAAGGGGCTTGACCATACAGTCTGAGTTAAAAGATTCCCAGAAGTTTCTGGCAGGGTTGTATCACATTTTTCAAACGAAGTGTATACAGACCCGATAACCGGGAACAAAGTCACGAAGTATACAGACCCGGTAAGGGAACTCTTTTGTGATTTCGGAAAGTTTCAGCGCCCAGACCCGGTAGTGTGTGTGCCTGTGTGTGTGTGTGAGAGAGAGAGAGAGAGAGAGAGAGAGAGAGAGAGAGAGAGAGAGAGAGAGAGAGAGAGAGAAAGAGAGAGAGAGAGAGAAAGAGAGAGAGAGCAGGGGGAAGTGCTAGCAAAATGTATGACATGCCCCAGTTGGCAGGAGGGAACGAGAGAAAGATATAGACATCTAGTGGGAAATAGGTGGGGAGAAAGAAAGACAGAGACAAACAAAGAAAAAGAGAATGCGAGCAACAGAGCGAGAGAGAAATAGAGAGGATGACTGCTCGAGAGAAATTATGACATTGTTCTTTTCTTCAAATTGTAATTCCTCCAACTCCAAAACGGAGGAAAAACGATCGTTCATCGAAAAGACATCCGCAATCTTCATTTAGTCTAAATTTAGATCTAGATCTAGGCTAGCCTCGAAACTAGACCATGGATGATGGATTTATGTCTGTCTGTCTAGATCTAGAACCTAGCCTAGGCCATAGATCTACTAGAAGAACTTAGGTCTACCCTGAGCCAAGAGGGCGCTGAAACTTACCGAAATCACAAAAGAGTTCCCCTACCGGGTCTGTATACTTTTGTGACTTTGTTCCCGGTTACCGGGTCTGTATACACTCCCTTTTTTAAATGTAATACTGATCCCTCCTTACCTCCGTTCACTTTGAAGCAAATAGGTACTTATTGGTCAATCTGTAGAGAATGTTGTGAATGTACCAAGAGACATCTAACCAGCTGTACACTGCAAGTCCCCACTGACTGGACCAAATCAATGCCCAACTATCATCATGAAGGAACAGTGAACTGGCCAGCAAAGGGATTTATATTGTGAAGCCATACACACTTGACAAGCCTTCAGAGTCAGAGGTAGCCTATACAAAACAAGCATTTGAACTTTTAGTAATTTTTTTTATTTTGTTTTTGTTGTTGTTTAAAGTCCTACTAAATCTAGATCTAGATCCTAGACCTAGATCTAGATCTAGATTCTAGATCTATACTAGATCTATTGCTGATTGAGGTGAGGAGAACAACATGATGAGGAAGTTCATGATGGCAACGACCGACAACGTTTTTAGCCAAGCGCCCCTTGACTTGGGCTATAATAATCTAAAGACAGAGACAGTTTTCGAAACACAAACCTACTGTTTGATTCTGTGACCGATGTATTGGATCTTTGTTCCAGTGTACCCAGCTTTAACACAAACAAAAGTCAGAAAATAATTAAAAACTAAAATCTTTTAAACTTTCGCTTTCAAATAAAAGAATGCTTTCCATTCACAATATTTTCATATTTTGATCACCAGCTGGCTTCCGGTTGTATCAGCCAATGAAATTTGACTCACCGCGCTTAAAATCTGTAAATGCTTGCATTGTAAACGCAGCAGTTGAATAAACTTCGAGGAGAACTCGATACTTGCCTCATAAAGATACATAATATCAAAGAATCTGCATAACAAGAGGGGCCACTTCTCTCTTTGAGCCAATTAAAAAAGTGTCCTCAAAATTCGGTGGCGCCCTCTTCGCAAAAGCGCACCTTTTGCGAACAGATGATATGTACATGTAGTTTAATGGAATGGTACGAACGACTGAAGGGCATTTTAAGGCCCATTTCTGTATTACAGCCGTATCTCAAATGTATGAGACTAATGAGTTAATCATCTTGAAATCTACTCTCTTGGCAGATCCCAATTGTTGTTATTATCCAAATATTTGATACAACTTTTGCAACTGGCGAATGCTCTTTGTTGAACACGAGTATGCTTAGACCACAGAATTCTACACTAAGCCAAAGATAGCTAAGTGTAGAATTCTGTGGCTTAGACAGATATTTGATATTCGATACTCATATCGTTTGATTTTGGATTGTTTCCGACAATGATGGTACCAAAGAGTCTACATAACAAGAGGGGCCACTTCTCTCTTTGAGCCAATTAAAAAAGTGTCCTCAAAATTCGGTGGCGCCCTCTTCGCAAAAGCGCACCTTTTGCGAACAG